ATAGGACTTCTGATAATGTCATTGCTGCTGATTACAATTTATCCACTATTTAGCACTATTACAGCAGTTTTAAATGATTTTATTGATTCTGTGGACACTCAAAAACATTGTTCATCGACCTTTTCAAAGCTTTTGATACAGTGGATCATACCTTGCTCTTACAAAGCCTCAAAAGTATTGGTTTATTTGATCAAGCTATTGGTTGGTTTAAACTCACAAATTGAAATCCATGTGTGCAAGTGGATGGCCTTGTTTTTAGTACTTTGAACGTAACTAAAGGAGTTCCACGGGGTTTAGGGCCTCTTTTTTTTTACTATATATAATAATATTATTGATCAAAATATCAAAACCGCAAATTTTCATTATTACGCTGATGATAGTTACTGTATATACATGGCTGCATCTACATCCAATTTGGCCCTTTCTTCACTACAGATTGCTTTTAATGTACTTCAACATCATTTATCTGAGTTAAAACTATTTTTAAATGGCGACAAAACAAAACTTGTGTTATTATCAATTTCCAAACAAACTAAGCAAAAGCTAGCTTTTATTACTACTACTCATGGTGTAGAGATTGAATTGGTTTCCCAGTACAAATATCTTGGAATTTTATTGATGATACACTTTCTTTTAGTTCTCACATTTAGCAATTGGTGAAAAAATTAAAAGTGATATTAGGCTTTTATTTTTAGAATTAAGAACTGCCTTTTTTTTGATGCAATATTTATGTCGATATTGGACTACAGTGATGTTATCTATATACATGCTTCGTCTCAGAGTCTACATGCATTGGATACTGTTTACCATAGGGTAGGGTACCATAAGCATTGGCATATCTTTGTTTACAAATCTATGTTGGGTTTACTCCCATCATATCTACACAATTACATTTGTAAAAAACCTGTCCTTAGCTATGGCCTTCGGTCATATGATATTTATTAATTGTTTCTAAAGTGCCGACTGAAATGGGGGAAAAGGCTTATAAATATGCAGAAACTTTTGCATGGAAAAATCTACAAAGTTGCAGTTTAAAGAAATTATTTCATTGAATGCTTTTGAAAATAGTATAAACGATTTAAAAATTTAAACACGGGCTTGTAGATGTTTTGAATAGTTTGTCAATGTGATTCATCTAAATTGTCAATTGTTTTTTGTTTGTTGTCTATTAGACCCATGTGACATTTATTCTGCCTAATGTTGGCCCGGACGTACTTGTAAAAGAGTTTTTTAATTTCAATGTGTCTTTCCTGGTAAAATAAATGTTATAATATTAATAATAATAATAATAATACAAACATGTGATATTTTTAAAATATAGTCTTTGAGAAATTAGTATGTAAGGGAGTGCTTGAAAAACAAACCAATTCAGAAAGGAAATTATGTAATGACATGATTATTTTTTGAATACAGAATGTCTTATCTTATTTTCAAAGTGTTATTTTGTGAATTTAGTATGCAAATTATTGCAAAAAGCTAATCCTATCACAATTAAAATAAATGTCATCAAATTCAGAATAAAAAAATACAAAATAACTATACCATTACATCACGATCGGCTAAAATCACACTGAAAATAATTAAATAATCCTCAAAATAAAATAATTTAAGTTCATGCAGAAATAGAAAGGCTTATAAAGGAGTTAAAGATTTATAAACAGTATCAACAAAACTGGGTGGCACGCTGGCTTAGTGCCTAGCACTGTCACCTGACAGGTTTCCTCCTGGTGCTCTGGTTTCCCCCATAGTCCAAAGACATGCGGTATAGGGTAATTAAATAAACTAAAATGTCCTTAGTGTATAAGTGTCTGTGAATATGAGTGTGTATGGGTGTTTCCCAATACTGAGTTATGGCTGGAAGGGCATCTAGTGTGTAAAACATATGCTGGAATAGTTCATATGCTGGTTCATTCTGCTGTGGCGACCTCTAAAATAGAGACTAAGCCGAAGGAAAATGAATGAATCAATCAACAAAACTGCTTTGCAAACAATATATTGATAGTCCAAAACTGAACATCACATGCTAATATAGCAGAATAAAAAAGACAGAGGATAAAGAGACAGACAGAGAATCAGTCACATTTAGGGAATGCAAAAGTTATAAAAAGAAATTTGTGAACTTATATAGAGATTAGAGCGTCTGCGGCTGAGCGGAGGTTTTGTTTTTGGGCACAGTGAGTCGTCTGTGTCTGCTGTCTGGCCATTGTGCTGCAGGTGGGCATGAAACACACACATCTACCCCCTGAATGGCACAGCTGTTTCCACCCAGACCCCGTCTTTTACAGAGTCTGCTGCTTTTACCAGCACCTTCTAAAGCTCATGCAAACTACATTGAGCAGCTGGACGCCGGCGGTCCCTCAGACAAAGCAGTCCATTATTGAGCCCTGAAGAATTAAACCAAAGTAAATCAGATCGCTCCATCTACAGTGGGAACGGAGCTATAGTCTGCTGGTGTCAATGGAATCATACTGTACGGCTCACATGAAAGATGCCTTTCATAGACACACAGATGTGTTGCCAGGCCACAGCTTGTGCTGTTGGAGTAATGCAGAGAGCAGGATTCAGACGGAGAGAGACGTCTCTTACAAAAGACCCAGGAGAATGAGAGACTGTGCTCAGCCACACGACTTGCTCCATGTGAGGAGGAATTAAGAGCAGTGTAATTAGACTGCTATTTCCTGTCCCGACTGCTGAGCTCGCTGATGGGAATGTCATGAATCCTCTGTTCCAAAATAAGTCCACCACCTCGCTTTCTTCTGCAGCAGCAGCCAATAATGGATATTTTTATAAACAATGGGGGGAAAACTGGAATCAAATATTTAATCAGCAGTTTTTCATATAAATCACTGAATATTTTACTAAATTGTTGTACATACACTGTTAAAGATGTCTTTAAAAATTACAGTATTACTGGTAATTTTGTTTGCCAGTAACAGTAAAATTTGCAAGCACACTTTAAATAACAAATACCACTGTGCTGTAGTTTTACAGCACAGTGGCATTTGTTAATTTACAGTGTGCTTGTAAATTTGATTGTGTTACAGGACATTTTTACAGTATTACTGGCAAAATGTACAAGCACACTGTGAATTAACAAATTCTAATTGTTAATTTACAGTGCACTTGTAAATTTTACAGTATTACTGACAACCAAAATTGCCAGTAATACTGTAAAATTTACAGCAATATTTTACAGTGTAGTGTTTTAATGGCAAATTCAGAGAATCGATAGTACCTTTGAAGTGGTCACATGACCCCCTTTGTGAGGTTTTATTTAAGTTTCTTTGCTGTCTTTACTGTCACTAAGTAAGTTTACATGGACACCAATAGTCTGATTTTGATACGATTAAGACAGTACTCTGATTAAGAGTCTACCATGTAAACATCGATTTTTGCTTAGCGTAATTGGATAAAGATCATAATTGAACAAAAATTGAATTAATATGGGGAGCATGCCAATTTTAGTCACATTATTGAAGTCCAGTACAGACATGTAAACACCGCAATCAAACTATTACCACCATGTAGGACTTTTTGGCACATTTTGCGACACATATTTGTCTATACACAAACGGCTGTTTGACACTATTTTCTGCACCTACTGAGTCAGTAAAGGACCACAGACCCCTACATCACGGAATGCGATTTTTTATTTCCCATATGGTGTGCGGTATCAAATTCTATTAAAACAACACTCTTCCAGTAGTTCATACTCGCATCCAGTATCTTGTTTGTCACAGGGGGGCATGCATGAAATGTTCCCGAATGAAACTGAAAGCGCCTAACTGCTTTTTAATATAACAAAAAATAAATAAATAAAACATCCGAAATTACATGAAACTCTGGAGGAAACGAGGATAGTGTGGTGACGCAATGACATTAATCAAATTATGTGCTATAACATGAAAAACAGGATCATGAAAGAATTCAAAAAGCAACTTATGCAAACATCTTACTCATAATATTATTTTATTCAGATTAAGGCAAATAATCTGCTCGCTGATGTCCATGAAAACGTAACCACTGTTCATTTTAATGTACAAATAATTAATAAAAAAGTATTAGTTTTCATTTTCAGCAACTTTCACAATAGTTGGGTTTCATCCTGTGCTAATGCACATTTTGAAGAATTGTATAAGTAGGAGATGCCAAATTGGAAAAAATCCTGTATTTTTGGACTTGGGAGCTGGAATGGTCATTATGGGAGATGGAAACCCAGCTGTTGTCTAAACTTTAATTTCGCGAACATTATACCCACGTGACTAATCAGTTTCATAATGCTAGGCTTGTTTACTGTTGGTTACTAGGTTACCAATACAGTCAGCCACTCGAACAACTTGATGCCAACCCCACATAAAGCCCCTTTCACACATACAGACAGCAATTTTCCGGAAAGGGATCATGTGTGAACAGGCCCTTTTTGAAAAAACCGGGAAATTCATTCCGGCAATTTTCCGGGAAGAGAAGTTGTAACATTACAAGTAATTTGCCGGAGCGCTGCTCTGTGTGAACGCAGAAGGAACATTGCTGGAGAGCTATTCATGTACTAAAATGCTGCCAGTGGAGAAAGCTTAGTAGGTCTTTGAGAAACAGAAACAATAAATTTGAAATAATTCATAATTTTATTAAAAACATTGCTTTAAATTTACTAACTAACATTTAAACAAATAAAAGTTTGCACCTAAGACAACTGCTCAGAGAGAAATGTTACAAAAATGCATACATATTTAATATCAATAAAGCGCTTTAGATAAACACTATTACAAATGAAATACTGGATGTGGATTCAGTCACTCAAAAGAGCACCTCATTCTTACGATAAATACCATCAAATGGCAGAATGACATTTTTTCCCCTAGATATTATGACATGGCTTATCAAGGTATAGGTACTGTATACAGTAGAAAACCACCCCGATCATATCGAGCCATTTCATATGGTGGAAAGGTGACATATAACATGATCTTGAATCTGTAACTTGAATGGATTCACAGTCTTACCTGATCTCCAGGCTGAGGTCTCATGAGTGACACCTGGTCATATCCTCGACGTAAAAGGGCCCACAAAGCATCCAGTTTCCCCTATAATACACATAACTGACCCATTAATAATGTTTTGATGTTAATATGTCTCAAAATTACATTTTTATAGCAACAACCTCAAACTAACAACGATTCTTTGTAAACAAAGTAATATAATAGTAAATGTGACCCTGGACCACAAACTCAGTTATAACCCAGCAGACACACAATGTCATAAGACATTAATATTAGGTTAGATTTAGGTCGCCAACATCTAAGGACAATGTTATTTTGATGTCCAATAATGACAGACATGAAATATTGTTGGTATTTTGTTGATTTTAGGTGGTATTGGAAAGTGACCAAAATCCAACGTTGAGCCGACATCTTAAATCACATTGGCATCAAATACTGACATTTACTCATCAGGTATGTCAACCAAAATCTAACATCTGATAGACGTCATATTGGTAATGTCCACACAATGTGAAGCTGTAACATCATTAGACATTTATATTTTGTTGGTTTTAGGTTGAGTTGGAAAGTAACCAAGATGCAACTTCTGTGTGATGTTGGACATTGACGTCGGCCTGACATTAGGTTCTGATGTCAAACCAATTTTCATTTCCAAACAAAATGCCTGTCTCACGACGCTGAGCTAAAACGCAAACATTTTTTAAATTGTGATTTTTGTAAATTGTGATATAAAAGCTATTTCTAAGCCACATATTTGAATTAATGTGTCAATAATGTGTCAACAAGCAAACCCTATATGTACTGTATACTTTTTTTTACAACGTAACATTTCTTTTAAAAAAACTCACAGGCTTTAAGACTATTAAACTAAATGTATGCACATCTATCCAGTTCAGCATCCTAACCATATACGAACATACATGAAGAACTTTTAAACAGATGTTAAAGTAAGGAAGATAATTAAACCATATTGTTATTAATAGAGTTTTGTTAAAAGTTTTATTGAGAAGAATTGTTAGTAAATAGATAGGTGTTTGCTCGACTATGTAGGACGTAGAAACATTAAGGCACGTTTGAAATGATTTAAGGACTACAAGACTTTTTTTTGTGAATTTAAAGGTTTTGTTTTTGAAATTTAAAACATTTAAGACTTTTTAAGACACACTGAGAGAGAAAGTACCTCGAATTTTGTAGAAATTAAGCTCTTAGCATTGCATATTACTAATCAAAATTTTATTTTGATATATTTTTAGCAGGGAATTTACTACATTTATTCGTGAAACATGGCCTTTACTGTTCTAACGATTTTTGCCATAAAAATTGTTTAATCTTGACACATACAATATATTTTTGCTTATTGCAAAATATGACTGATTTTTGTGTTACAGAGTCACAAATTAGATGAAAAAAACATCCCATACCCGAATAGGACTGTACCACTTTCTGTGGTGGTCAGGTCTGCGCCCATAAGTCTTTCTGAGTTTGGGTTCATAGGGTTCGAATTCATCTTCAGGCATTTTCACAACAGCGTTCTTTGGCTTCTCCAGTTTAGCTCCTTCCTCCGTGGAGCCCCTGTTCCCCCACCGCACCTAAAACACCAAAAGAAAACCATTCAACCATTCAAACATTGACTCCCATAGTATTCCTTTTATCTGAGTCAATATCTACCAGTTATTATACCATCATCCAAATATCTTAAATTGTTTTCAACAGAAACAAGAAACTCCTTAAGATTTGGGAACCATTTGAAGTTAAAGTTAAAATTTAAATGTAATTAATTTAATTAAATAAATTAAAGTTTTTGGGTAAACAAAGTAATGCACTAGCAGTGAAAAGGTTTGCATTTTAGGTTAGTTAGTATTTTAAGAACAGTATTGCATGTCCAATATTGGCACCTTTGCAAATTACAGGAGTAAAACTACAGGCGTCAGCTTGTCTTATGATGTCAAGTAATCTAGTTTTGGCACCAGGCAGACAGAGAGCATTTAAGGTCACAGTGATGTGTTTTAGTGCCTTGAGGGTTCATAACATCACTCGTCGTGCATGGTCTTCATCTCCCTGTAGCCTGTGTTAACCTATGATCAAGTGACGCTCCATATGAAGCCAAAACACACATGCTGTATACGCAAACATGAATCACCTCCATTCTTTTGATTCCACCGACTCCTCTTCCTCCATAGTAGGACGCATCTACTGTAGGCCATTTCTTTTTGGGCATGCCATCTTCATCATCAGACTCCTGTTAGTCACACAAAATATATTAAACTAATATCATACAACAAAAAGACATCTGCTCTAAGATTAGATTAAATCATTTCGATTTTCTGTAAACTGAAAACTTGGAAAGTATTACAATAAAGTTGAGTTGAGTTTAATGCCAGAATTTAATCTATACTTCATTCATTTTTTTTCTATATCTATCAGTAAAGGATGTTTAAAAAAATAAACATGGTAAAAAAAAATATTTTGTCTAATTGATCCAGATTAACTTTCTAGATCTAATTTAAGAAAATTCCAAGGTATAGATCTAAAGGGACGAGAAGCCTATGTTTAAATCTGTTTTGATGTTTTACATAATATTGTAATAATTAATTTTATAGATCATTGATAGGTCAAATGTAATTTGAATTTGAGATATTTATTAAAATTTTGTTTCATTTAGATGCAATTCTATTTTATCACTTTGATTATAAGTACACTAGAGACATGGTTTTATTTAAATCCTGAATATGATCCAAATTCTTTGTGAAAACGTGTTACGTTCAGGGCAGATAGGAAACAGTAACACATCATCAGCATTTTATGTTGAATGGGTATTTTTTGGCAGTGACAAAAATTTATATTGCATGGGTCAGAATTATAGATTTTTCTCCTATGCCAAAAATCCTTTGAATATTAAGAAATGATCATATTCCATGAGGATATTTTCTAATACAAATAAACCAAAATGCTTTGCTATAATTTTGGTACTATTTAACTATAAAATGCATTACTAAGCACTATATTTTAGACCACTTTAAAGATGATTTTCTTTGAGTATATACTCTCAAATTCTAGATTTTTCAATATCCGTGTCAGAATGTTGAAAACTGTTTTATTTTTTCCCTACTATTGATGTCAGTGGCTACTAGTTTCCAACATTCTTCAAAACATCATATTTTGTGTTCCACAGACAAAAGTACTCATAAAGGTTGAAAATGACTTGAGAGTAAGTAAATAGTAAGTATTTTTTTTGGGTGAACTCTGCCTTTAATGTACACCCTTGATTGCCTCCCTTTTATAAAATAACAAGATCTGAACTATAACCATTTACATTAACCCTTGCAATATATATGTGTGTGTGTGTGTGTGTGTGTGTGTGTGTGTGTGTGTGTGTGTGTGTGTGTGTGTGTATATATATATATATATATATATATATATATATATATATATATATATATATATATATATATATATATATATATATATAAATTGAAGTCAGAATTATTAGCCCCCTTTGAATTTTTTTTCTTTGTTAAATATTTCCCAAACGATGTTTAACAGAGCAAGGAAATTTTCACAGTATGTCTGATAATATTTTTTCTTCTGTGAAAGTCTTTTTTGCATTATTTCGGCTAGAATAAAAGCAGTTTTGAATTTTTTTAAACACAATTTTAAGGTCAAAATTATTAGCCCCTTTAAGCAATAAATCTTTTTTTGGTAGACTACAAAACAAACCATCCTTATACAATAACTTGCCTAATTACCCTAACCTGCCTAGTTACCCTAATTAACCTACTTAACCCTTTAAATGTCACTTTAACTGTCTTGAAAAATATTTAGTAAAATATTATTTACTGTCATCATGGCAAAGATAAAATAAATCAGTTATTAGAAATTAGGTGTTAAAACTATTATGTTTAGAAATGTATTCTTCTCTCCGTTAAACAGAGAGTGGGGAAAAAATAAACAGGGAGGCTAATAATTCAGGAGGGCTAATAGTTCTGACTTCAACTATATTGCAATGTATAAAATGACTGGTTCAAAGTCCTTCAGCAAACTTTCACTGCTCAACGGCGATAACAAACACAAGACACGGTCAAATAATGTTAGCTGCTAAAGTAAGCAACCGCATTGTGTCTCCAAATCAAAGGGACGCCTCAGAGAGAGAGGGCCTTGTTTGGACCCTCAGTGTTAAGAAGCACAGATGCACACTCTAAAGCCATTTCCACAAAGCTCTTTTATTTCCCATCAGCCTCAGTGACTGCTTGCCTTTGACCTCTGGGAACAAAGCAAACACAAGAGGATCATTATGAGGCATTTTCCCTCAGTTTCGCATCCTGCGGTCGAGGCTGTGGTGTCCACTGTGTCCACTTACACTGCTCACTTGTCTTTATTTACATGGCCGTGGCACAGAAAATGCCCTTAAATGGTGATGGACAGTTGTGCACTAAAATGTTAGCCGCTAATATTGGCAGCATTAGGGAATGTGGTTTATAAGGCCATTTCTGGGGCATATTGGATGCAGCTTTTATGAGAGTTATTTATTTATCGTGTGCGATCTATTTTCGTAGTGCCCTGATTCATATCTGCGCTAAATTTCCATGGTTCACTGAGAGTAGTGTTGTGTGTCTAAACACACACAGGCACACACACAATAAAATCAGGTTAGATGGAGTTGAACTCACAGGCTCGGGTGGAGGAGGTGGAGGCACTTCCTTGATGACCTGAAAGAAAAAATACTTCTCTGTGAAAGAATGTAATCAGAGCAAAGAACAGTACAGTATAAATAGTAGCTGTGCAAACAGTACAGTATTAAGGCATAATAGCACTATATTGCCTGAAACGCAAGGCGTGTTGACATTATCACTGGAGGAAGGTTACTACTTTGTTAAACAATTATTGGAATAATGTGAACAACCCAAATAAATGATTAAAAAATGGAAAATCCTAATATTGTTGAGTATTTTTTGAAGGTGTGAATAACAAAAACTAATATGATTCATAAAAATATAATAATATTAATTGAATAGTGGTGCAGCACGGTTGCGCAGAGGGTAGCACAGTTGCCTCATAGCAAAAATGTCTAGTTTGAGCTCTGGGTGGGTCAGTTGGCATTTCTGTGTGGACTTTGCATGTTCTCCCCATGTTGACTTGGGTTTCCTCCAGGTGCTCCGGTTTCCCCCACAAGTCCAAAGACATGCACTATTCCACTGTGGCAACCCCGGATTAATAAAGGGATTAAGTCGAAAACAAAATGAATGAATGAACGATAATTTAATAGTTTACATTTTATTAATATTAATAATAATAAAGTGCTGATATTGTTACATCATTGTTTGACTGTATTAATAAAACAAAATAAACGTATTAATAATACATAATAACAACAATTGAACAAGATGAATAATAAAGTGATGTCACTAAGTGTCAAAGTAATACAAATAAATGCATAATTTATAATAATAATTTATAGGTTATAATAATAATATTGTGCTAATATTGTTACATCATCGTTTGAGAGTATTAATAAAACAAAATAAATGTAATAATAATACACAAAACAACAATTACTATGATTATTATTAATAATAATAATAATAGTTATAACAACAACAGAAACAATATACTGATATTGTTACAACATTAAGTGTGTAACTAAATATTAATACATAATATTAACAATATTAATAGACATTGTTATATTTGTATTTATATTTGTGTTTGAATAACTGATAACAATAATAGTAAAAATATTAATTATTAAAATAATAATAATTAAGTGGCATCACTATGCATGATTTGTAATAATAATAATAACAATAATAATAATAGTAATAATAATAGTAATAATAATATTAAATGTGCTGATATTGTTACATCATAATTTGTGTGCATTAATAAAACTAACTAATTAATAATATATAATAACAACATCATTAACAATGTACTGATATTGTTACAACATTAGGTGTGTGAGTATCATCAACCATTGCATTATACGTAATAATAAACATAATAATAATAGATAATGTTGTATTTGTGTTTTATTAACAGACAATAACAGTTGTTGTTATTAAAAGATAAATAATATAGTGACATTACTAAAATAACATAAATAAATGCATCATTTATAACATTAATTATAAGTTCTAATAAAATAATAATAATAATAATAATAATAACAACAACAACAATAATAATAATTAATATTATTATTATTATTATTATTAGTAGTAGTATTGATATTATTATTATTGTTGTTATTATAATTATGTAATAATCTGTGTTATTCAATCATGATTAGCATGTTATAACACATTGAATAATTAAAAACAAGTTATAAACAAATGCTTTTGGCTGAAATGTGTGTTTGTGAGTCTGTAAAAAATGTTTTGTTATCTTATTTAATGTCTTCCATACACTTATAATGATGGGTTTGATTCTCCAACTTGATTTGGGGCCCCTGCAAATGTTTGCAATAAATGTTAATAAGTACAGCTTTATCCTTTTAGACATTCAGGCATACCACGGTACAGCACAGAGGCCAAAACCACCACATCAACACCAGACCCAACAACAGGAAAACAGCCAGCAGGGAGATCAGCAGGATGGTCCCATCAAACTGCAAAAACACACACCACAGACACACACACACACACATCTTCATCAGTATTTGCTGGCAAAATACAAATGAACAGGCAAGGAGAATAAAGAAAAGGGCAAATGACTTCTTCAGGAGATGCAATATCTTTTTTTTTACTTCTAATTTAAACTTACATGACAAAACCAGACCCCTCTGATGAAAGAAAGCAGAGGAGACCTCAGAAGAGAAAAGGAAAGGGTAAGAGAGAAAGAAAAAAAATAGCAGACAGCAAACAACAACAACATCTATTAGTCTAAGGCTGAATCACTCCAATCCACCATTCATGTTTATACAGGCAGAAGTGTGTGTGTGTGTGTTGAATGAAGACAGATGTACTTACACATTCAGCAGTGGTGATGTGCACTGAGCTTGTGATGTAGGACAAGCCCTCATTCATGCTAACCTGCAGATAAATCACCCTGCAAGAAAACAAAAACACTTTAATCACACCTGCTGAAATAGCAAAGTCACTGCATTCCTGTGATAGACATGTGTGTGCCTGTAATAGGGATTGAATTAAAACCATTAGATCAGCGTTTTCTGGTTAAAATGTGTAATCTGGAGCCAGGATTAAAAAAAACTATTAGTGGATAATGTCTGCTTCACACAGTATGGATAACAACTTTCAAAAAGTGCAGCATGCAGGCTGAAAGCGTGTAGACACAGGAACATGTCTGATAATCTTGTTATCTATGAAGAAAATATGCACGTCTAAAATTTATTTTTAAGTCCAGAATGCAAACAATAAGCCAAGGGAATTGGAAAAAACAATTAGACAGAATAATTGTAGAGGGTTTTCAAAGTCACAAGCTATATTCAAATACAATGAAATACTTTCGATAATTTAAATCATGGCAATAAGGTGGTTCAGTGGTTAGCACTGTCGCCTCACACCAAGAAGGACGCTGGTTCGAGTCCCGGCTGGGTCCATTGTCATTTCTGTGTGAAGTTTGCATGTTCTCCTCATATTGGCGTGGGTTTCCTCTGAGTGCTCCGGTTTCCCCCACAGTCCATGTGCTATAGGTGAACTGAATAAACTAAATTGGCTGTAGTGTATGTGTGTGAATGAGTGTGTATGGTTGTTTCCCAGTACTGGGTTGCAGCTGGAAGGGAATCCGCTGTGGCAAACATATGCTGGATAAGTTGGCGGTTCATTCCGCTGTGGCGACCCTAGCTTAATAAAGGGACTAAGCCGAAAGAAGATTAATGAAATCATAAGTTTGTTAAAGTCAATTTGTCAATTCAGTATGATCCCTGTTGTGTTTACATTTCAAACTAAGCAATAATTGACATTTTATTTTTAGAAAGGTTATTTGAAATATTAAAGTAATTCATATGAATTTAACTAGCATGGACCACGCCACACTTTGAGCTAGACTTTATTGTTGGGATGTAGGCACGAAAGGGATGGTAAGGGAAGAGTGGGATAGAAAGTAAGAGGATAAACAGTGAACAGTTAGGTTGGTTGATTGGTCATCCTACAATGATGCCCAGAGACTCAGAGTTGGGGTAGCAAAAGTGTGCTTGAGTAAATGAGAAGAACAGTGCTAGAGGGTTGGTCTGCCTTAAATAAGTTTTCAGGGAGCAGATGATTGGTTAAGGAGACAAAGTGAGGCGTGGTTCTGCTGCCGAACCTATGTTAACAAGTTAACTCCATTAAATAAAATCAACCAAAATGGGATATTTCGTCTTTGTGCCCTAAATAGTTTTAGTTCATTTTTGTTTTAGTTGTCAGTATTTTAGTTTATCAAGTTAAATGATTTAAAATTTGTTATATAAAGTTGAAGTCAGAATTATTAGCCCTGCTGAATTATTAGCCCTGCCCCTGTATATTTTTATCAATTTCTGTTTGATGAAAAGAATATTTTTTCACATTTCTTAACGTAATAGTTTTAATAACTCATTTCTAATAACTGATTTATTTTAACTTTACCATGATAATAGTACATAATATTTTACTAAAAGATTTTAAGATATTAGTTTATTAGATATTCAGCTTGAAGTGCAATTTAAAGGCCTAGGTTAATTAGGCAAGTTAGGGTAATTAGGCAAGTCATTGTGTAACAGTGGTTTGTTCTGTAGACAATCAAAACTTATTATAATTATTACCTTAAAATTGTTTTAAAAAATTAAAAACAACTTTTATTCTAGCCTAAATAAAACAAATAGACTTTCTCCAGAGAAAAAAAAGGGGAAATACTGTGATAAATTCCCTTGCTCTGTTAAACATTATTTGGGGAATATTTGAAAAAGAACTGTGTACAGCTGTATACACTATATACACAGTACACACACAGATAACCATTAATCTCACATGATCTTTAAGATATTACAATGATACAAATTTTTCCATGATGTTAATTTTAACAGTGATTATATGATAAGATTTCCTCTAAAATATATTAATTTGTGGTCAGAATATGAATAAATGTTTTGGGGCAGGAGTGCCAAAGTCCTGGAGGGCCAGCGTCCCCCAGAGTTTAGTTCCAACCCCATTTAGAAACACCTGGGCGAGCTATTTAAGCTCTTACTAAGCTTTCGAGAAACATTCATGCAGTTGTGTTGATGTTTGGACACCCCTGTCTTAGGGGTTTGGAGTGACTCAAGAGAGAGTAATTAATAACATAATTTTCATTTTTGCGTAAATTTAAGCCTGAGAAATAAAAAAGCATGGTTTGTCATGTGACTGATGATGACTTAACAAATCTGACAACACATCTATCTCCTCCAGCTTATATCCGCAAATCTGTAACTTCACCAGGGACACTGCCATGTTTAGGTCTACCATGGGCATTCAAAGCTCTGGTTTTCACTGGAAAAGTCTCAGCTTTCTTGACTTAGGCGAGCCCTTTTTCACTCTCTTGTACAGAGCTGAAAATAAGTTACTGAAAGGGTATTGCCCCATTGCCACTCTGTTGGCAGGATGGGGGAAGGGCTGAAAGGGGTAGAACAGAATAAAGGGGCGGCTGTGTAGTGGAGGGGGGTCCAGTGACAGATCCATCTGATGTTCCATCAATCAGGATGCAACTGGCTCTTTTTGAGCACATCTTCAGGAGGCCACTCAGTCACCACGCATTTAGCTGACAGCACTGACAGCTGACAGGGCACAAAACTGCCCTAAAATTGGCTATTCACACCCCTCAAAATATTCATATGGCCTTCTCCGGTAAAATCAGAATAGCAGTTGACTCAATTGTTGGAGTTATTAGATGACTGCATAAAAGTTTACATATTAAGATGGCAGCGTTTGATTTTCAATTTAGTCTAATTTGTCTGACAAACCAAATTCCTAATTGTAACTGGCTTATGATGGAATGTTTCGTCTCGGGTTGTGCCTTTAAATTATACATACCACATCTGGCTGACTTTTGAGAGACCCAGACATTAAAAGATCCCAGAAGCCACATCATGACATAGTATTATTAAAAAATAAACATGAACATACTTATTACATAACTCCCTATTTCAATTTTGGCTGCTAAAAACGAATAAAAATAACAAATAAACAAAGAATAATAATATACTAAAACCTTAAATATAAATGTTTAAACTAAAATATAAATAGCTAATAAAAAATATTTGAAAATGATAATATTATATAAATAATATTAGGATAACACGGCCCCTAATTATTGGTATAATCTAAGGAGTTTATTATCCTAAAACTTCTGCCAACAAGGGAACATTTATTTATTACAACTGGCAACAAGAAGTCAACAATTTTAACAATATTAGATAAATAGTGAAGTATTCTAAAATCATTTTAGTTTAAATAACAAATCAAACATTGTACGATTTTTGCACTAGTATAAAATAAAAAAGCATTTCAGTGTTGTGATACAAGAGTAATGAAAATAATGCTGGTCTCATTTACTGGATATAAGCAAATGACCAATCGCAATTAAGTATATCATACACACACACACACACACACACACACACACACACACACACACACACACACACACACACACACACACACACACACACATATATATATATATATATATATATATATATATATATACACACACACACACAACAGTTCTGTCTGGTTCTTAAATCTGATTGGCTGCAAATAACAGCACTCGTCCAGCCTCTTCACCCTTGTGTATTACTCTGCCAACATACAGCGACAAGCAGAGGACACTACAGTTTGACAAATATTGCTGCTGTTGGAAAACATAATGCACTTCTGAGGCTTTTTTAGTTGAGAATGTAGTTGCTTAGATTGCAATTATGCAGTTTATTTATAAGAAAAGTGCCTATTTCATAATATTTATCATTTCTGAGACAGAGCATCAGCAGTCATTAGCCTGTCATTGAGCAGAGCAAAGACGGTTGACATTGTCCATCCACAATATGGCGACAGAGACCGCATAATAAGTCCTTAGAGGTGAAAAACAGAATAATTTCTAACTACAGCTGATCAAAACATTATTAAACAGGTAAATTACATTCTAAGACAACCTCTCTCTTTTGTATGTAGTAGTGCTGTATTCATACCATAGTAATTGTAGTGTATTGAGTGTGAGATGGGACTCGCATATCAGGAATGTATGCATTTTGTGTTGGCCACTCTTTGTATTACCCATACTTTACTTTTACTTACTAGTTACTTTTTAGTTGGCCATCTGTTTATTTCTAATGAGTTTCCTGTTTTTGTTACTGCAGACTAGTTCAGTAAAAAGAAAAAAAAAAAGAAATGGTCGCATATGTTTAGTGTTTTTCCTTATCGCAAATACAACAGTAATCTGGTAGTGTTTGCGCTGCTTTGGCTTTTTCAGATTAAATATTGTGATATCCTGTTTGCGACAGAGACATACTGGGAAATCTCTGTAGATTGATGGCATTCATGCCATTCAACCTTATAGTCTTAGAATGTGAGCAAAAACACCTGTTTTGTCATCATTTTAGACATTACGCTAGATAATCCTTCAAATACTCTTTAAAGTGAAGTTGGTGAAGTAGCAATGGTTTCTGCTGTTCTGATGGTAAGCTGCAGATTAAATAAAAAACAGAAAAATTAGTTCCATCCTCATACAAAAGGGTTTTAAGACTCTTGTGTTTGATTTTCTTTTTTGTATACAGGATTATGCTGTCAAACTGTTGTATAGACGCAATCTCACACTCGAGTGTAATATTGCTCATATAAATACATTCATCTAACATGTTACTGTTAACTAATGAAAGTATATTTTAATTAAACTGATCTTCTGCATCATTTACTCTTCCTTGTGTAGTTTTACACCTTTATGAGATTCTTCCTTCTGTTGAACACAAAAGAAGATATTTTGAAAAATGCTGATGGTTGATGGTACCTGCACTGAAAAAAGTGTTGCATGCAGAACTGTTGCAAACAATTATAATAATGTTCAACTTAATTTGTTTGTTTAAATTCAACACAATTAAATTGTTTACAACCACTTAACATTAAAAAAATGAGTAAATCCAAGGAATCATCTTTGAATAATTTCTTTCAGTGTGTTTACTTCTATAGTAGAAGTCAATAGTCAATATGTAGAAGTCAGTGGAAGTCAATATGTCAATAATAATACTCAATAATAATACTCAAAATACTTTAACAGTCAAATACAAGTCAAATAACAAAAATACTTTGTTTTAACATTGAGGACTGCAATGTAAATAAGCTAAGGGCATTATTGTGTTTTTTTTAATTATCCACAACAGTTTATTTCAAGATATATAGGATACTTATATTTGGTGCAGTTTGCTTAAATCTGTCAAATAAAAAAAATTCAATTAAATTTTTATGTCCCAGCAACCAGCATTCTTCAAAATAACCTATTTTATGTTCAACAGAAGAGAGAATCTCAAACAGGTGAAGGGTGAGTAAATGATGACAGAGATTTGATGTTTGAGTGAACTATATTTATAGCACTGGTTTTAAATAAAGTGCTGAATATTGACATCATCATCAGCATCTACTGCTTTTGTGCCACATTAGCAAATGCAATGCGATGCAGATGTGATGCAGGCTGACCAAGAGTAACCACCCTGTTTTGCTCAAGGTGCCATGAGACGCCTCTTCATTGGCATCTCAAGGAATCTTCCTGACAAGAACAAGACAGCTGAAATCCTCAAGGTGTCTAGAGCCGGCGGTACACATAATTATTCAGAGGGCTCACAGGGAAACCAGCCGCCGGCAACAGCTCATTTGTTGAAGAAGGCCTGGAAAGTAACCTGTAGTGGTTCTCCGGGGCTCTGATGTGGATACATACGTGCAGCTCTGTGTTTCAACGTCTGTTCTTTTCTTTATTGGCTCACAAAAAGCACGGCAGCCTTGGGCAAACATGCACACTCACCACAAACTTTTCATGCAGGTCAAGCCTATAGTGACTCATTTCTCAGAGAGGCTAATTATACGCTCATCTTGGGCTTTTTACACCACATGCCTGTTGTCTTAATGTGTTAGGGCGCATGGAGCTTGACTGATAAGAATAATTCCAGATGACATTGACCCTAATTTTTCAAGGGTACCAACGCATTAAGATGTAAAGTGGCAGAAGGAAGAGCACCTACTTCCCAGCTTCGTTTATGATTGGTGCAGGGCAAAGAAGGAGAGTGTCTTCAACGCTGACTGGTCGTTCATCTGTAAATGTAAATTGTTAAATGTATTAGAGATAATTAAGTCTGTTTTTAATCATTTAGTCTAAATAAATACATTGTTATTATTACTGTAACAACTTTCATTTACATAATAAAGGAGCGGTAAAGTGTTGCATATAGCCAAATCTTGAAAATTCTCACTTTCTATGGATTTACTGGATTTAGAAGGTACGGGATTAGATAAAATATTAATATTTGTTATTAACTATACATTTCAAATAAAATATTGTAATTTATAGGATAGAATAACAAATATTCTATTAATTTTTTATTTTGTGATTGAAAATCAGGGTTATTCCACCAAATATAAATTGTATAGAAGGTGAAATCCAAATAGAAAATATAAAAAGTAAAATACTGGCAGTGTGTTGTCTGAAAACATGAATATTTTTGTTATTTCATGCAAAAGAAGTTCAAAATGACAACATTCCTATTCATAATTTTAGGGGGAAAATTTCATCAGTAGTTTAGAGAATAAAACAAATGACATTTTACTCAAACACATAACTATTCCTTCGTCAGCTGCAAAAGTTCAACCTTCCAAAGGAGCTGCTTTCCATAGTTTTACACTTCCATCATTGAATCAGTCCCCTGCCCTTCAATAACTGTCTGGTTTAGCTCAGCTACCAAATCCGACCTCTGAAGACTATGTCGAATAGTTCGGACAGCTGAGCGAATCAGTGGTAAAATGCTCCCTCCTCTCAAAAAATTGTACTTATCCAGAGCGAGCAGAAGGGCTGCTAAAATCACCCTGGACTCCTCACACCCAGCACACTGCCTCTATAAACTTTTACCTTCTGGTCGACGCTACAGAGCACTGTGCACCAGAACAGCCTGACCCAGAAACTGTTTCTTCCCCAAGACAATTCATCTCATGAACACTTGATGATAATAATTATAAAACAAACAACACTACTTGCTATACACTATTTATACACATATACACTTAGGGCCTACTCACACTATGCCATCCGTACCGTGCCCAGGCCCGTTTCCCGGATCGTTTGAGAAGTGTGAGTGCGCTGAATCGGGCTCAAGCACGGTTAACTTGGCCGGCCCTGGCCCGGTTGGAAGAGGTGTGCCTGAGTGCGGTACACTTGGGCTTTGGCGCGGTACGCTTGTGTGTGAGCGCGAAACGCGCCAAAGCCCGAAACCGAAAGCGAGACGTGACTTTTAAGGGACTGTTTGATATGGATTTATTAATCATTCTTACTGTTCAGTGATCGCAAACTGCCCTAGTTTATTAAAGACGCAAACTCCTCCCAGCACGCCAGCTGCGCGCCTTCAGCAGACCTCCTCATTCCTGCAGCAAGAGAGCTTTGATTGTTTATGAGCGCCAAAAGTGGCGGATCTGTTCGGAGAAATATCTGACTGCGTGTCCCCGCATCCCTAAGGACTGTTTGGCGAAATATTTGACTGCATGTCACTGCATAACAAACGACTGAAACGATATAACTAGAGAAATCTCCACTGTGCTGCTGAGTGAGAGCCTATGGCAAGCCGTTTTAATATTTAAACCTTGTTCTGACTATCCATAAATATATTTAGAGAGATAATTATATTTTGACAAGTCATTATTATAATTCGACTTGTCAGAATGACAATTAGAGATATCTGCAATTACAATTGTACTAGTACGAAATCAGATTGGAGATATCTGCAAATATATTATGACTAGTCATATTCCTCCATTGACTTCCATTGAAAAATATTTGCAGATATCTCTGAGTTTTGACTCGTCAAAAATCCAATTCAAGATATCTACAACTGTAATTCGACTATAAGTAAATTAATTAGAGATATCTTCAAATATATTTGTAAATATCTCTAAATATTACGAATTAAAGACATCTCCAAATGTATGACTAGTAAAAACTCAGTTAGAGATATCTCTAATTACAATTGTGACTAGTCAAAACTCATTTAGAGATATCTGCAAATATTTTTTGCAGATATCGAGGCCCGATATGGTGTGAGCGCGGGCCGTCGGGGGAGACGGGAGGGGGGACAAGCGTGCTTTGGCCCGGTTCGAGGCAACTGTACCTAGTGTGAGTACGGCCTTATTAAACAATACACTTTACATGCCAATTTGCACATAACAGCTGTACATATAACGTTGTATTTAGTAATAAACCTGTAAATAAACTTGTCAGTTTATATATTTGCATTCACTACTTACTTCTATTTTTGAAAATTTATTTATTATCTGTTTTTTTGTCCTGTCTCTGTAATTCCAGCCTGATCTCATGAGGAAATGTAAGTATTTTACTTTTTTTTTCAATTTAGTGGCGAGTTCAGTTGTACGACAATGCACGATTTTAAAAAGGAGGCATGGCACCCAACCCCACCCCTAACCCCAACCATCATTGGGTGATGAGCAAATCGTACTTAATTATATGAATTAGATCGTACGAATTCATACAAATTAGCCACTAATTCAAAAAGTTCCAAATTGCTGTGAGATTGCGTTGGTAATTCTGTTGCACTGTAGAAGCTCTGTCAAGAAAACAAATTCCTCATATGTGTGAACATACCTGGCAAATAAGCTCTTTCTGATTGTGATTCTATAAATCACACATTTAAAAATCAATTTTTGAGTGGTCTCTTAATTTTTTCCATAGCTCTATGCTATTTTTCATACAGTAAAGCATCTATATACATCATTGCATGTTAACAGAAGAAATATAGTTTGTAATATGCAACTGTAATGTGCTACTTACTCACTGTAGATGTGTCATTGACTTTGAAGCTGCACAGAACCTGATTGATATTTCTGGCATGCAAAAATCCATTTCCCCGCACAACCACTTGGAAGGAATCTTAAAGAAATACAAACCAAAAATATATTGATGATAAACATTTAGCAAGTCCCACTGCTGCCTAGTGAAATTCTTGTGCACATTCCAGAAATAAATGCGTTCAAAAATGAGATTAAACGGTGTTTTATGTACTATTTATACCAAAATATTTTTTTAAAAGCATGAGAAAAATGCCCACACTAGGCTGTGGCTGTTTTCTTTTTTAGATCTTTGTCTCATGCAGCCAAATTATAAAGTGTGCTCAGCCCGAGGGCAGGTTTTCTTTCTTTTTTTCTCCACCCTTAACCTTTCAGGAACACTCAACTCAAATGGGCAAATGCATATGCTCCAGTGGTGCTAATAATAAAAGTGAAGAGGTTTACAAATCTCTTGGAGTCGTGTAGCTGGGGGTGCTGTGTTGGTGGCCGACAAAGCGGGCTGCCTGACCTTTGAGTGCCCTCGGGCAATGCTGTAGACCCTCTGACAGCTACTAAGCAGCATATGTTGGAGAGAAAAACACGCTCACTTAGAACCTGTCTCAGCGGGCGTCTGCGGATGCAGAGCGCACACCAGTGTGTGTTTGTACCGATTCTGCTGCTCATCTCTGAATAATGCTGCACCTTTAGAAAATGTGCTGCTCGTGAGCCTTTAACATTTAAGTGTGCAAAGTTCACTGGATAAAAAACATTCAGCGCAGTGTGCCATCAGGGATAGACAGTCGTGTGGAAAGGTCAAGAGAACAATACTGCTGTGAGAAATAATATTTTATGTAAGTCGGAGTTGACTTCTTCCATATCACAGCTTTTACAGCATTTAGAGCATCCTGAAGTTAGCAGGTTTTGTCTTTTGTGTCCAACACAAGCTACAAAGCCATAAAGAAAATGTGATTTGCTGCTAGTTTTACATGGGACAATACTTGATTTTCTCAGAGTCTGCATGCATTGGATACTGTTTACCATGGTGCACTAAGATTTATGACTAATTTTAAATCCCTTACTCATCGTTGTGTGTTGTATACAAGGGTAGGTTGGTCCGCTTTGTCCATTCGCAGGCTCAAGCACTGGCATATCCTTGTTTACAAATCTATATTAGGTTTACTCCTATCATATCTCCAGAATTATATTGATAAAAAAAACTGTCTTTAGCTACAATATGGCCTTTGGTCACAGGATATTTATTTACTGTCTGTTCCTAAAGTGCGTACTGGCGTTTAAATATGCAGCACCTTTTGCACGGAAAAATCTACAAAGAAAGTTGCAGTTTAAAGAACGGATTTCACTAAATGCTTTAAAAGAGTATAAATGATTTAGAAATTGAAACAGGCCTAAAGATGTTTTGAATAGTTTGTTTGTCAATGAGTGATTCTTGTTAATTGTTTTTTGTTTGTTGTCTGTTAGATCCATGTGACAAATTCTGCCTAATCTTGGCCAGGACACTCTTGCAAAAGAGATTTTTAATCTCAATGTGTCTTTCCTGGTAAAATAAAGGTTATAATATTAATAATAAATTTTGCTAAAATGATGACTACGTAATATTTTGTTTCTGGTTAATATTATCCAATACCCTATATGGCCTAGGCAACAGCAGAAAAGGCAACTTGTTTTATTAAAGGGATAGTTCACCCAAAATGACATTTACTCACCATTTACTCCAAAATGTTTCTCTATGTTTGTGTTTACATACATAGAAACTGTGTACATGTATAAAACTATACCTTGATACTTTAACTAAATAATGGACATGCATATGTAAGTTTAAAAAAATCTAAAAGAAAATAATGTAGGAAAGTAAATTGATATCAACTGTTGTTGATTGTATATGAACAGATCTAAACAAACTTCATTTTAATATCATGGTGACTCTAAAAGCTCTTAACCCCGTTTATCTTCATAAGAATGATGAACAACAAAAAGGCTGATCACAAATTCAAAGATCTCAAAGCGTCTCTTGTCTCATCGTGGATCAACCTAAACAAATTCCACTCCCATCCGATCCAATTAACCTGTCATTTCCTCTCTAATTATACTAATCCTGTCTGCCATGCAGAAGCCCCTCTCCACCCCACCTCTGCATCTAAATTTGCCCAGCTCTCTTGCTCATGCCTGTTTAATGTGACGTCCATACTGCTGAAATGGCTAATTTCATTTAATTTTGGAGGCCGGGCATCAACATCCATGTCCTTTTCCTCCCGCGTTACTGTCAGACGTGGTGTGTCGGGTTCTGACAGGACAGCGCAGGGGTAAAAAGGTCAACAACACTGGCTTGGCAGCGGGCAGCGCTGGCAGCGAGATGGTGGGCAGGGGCTGGTACGCTGTCGGCTCGCGCCCGTTTCTGCTGACGCTTCCCATCCACACCTGAGAGCTTGATGGCTGTGGATGTTTAGAGCCGAGGTGCCACGTCCGAGTACGGACACTTCAATCACTGCCCCAACTGGGGGATGGGGTGCAGAGGAAACACGAGGGTTAATCAAAGCAACCATTGCTGTCACGTTTGATGGCTGGGCCTCGTCTCAGAACAGCGAGTGATGGCCTGTTTGCAGGCTGCACGGGCTGGTCACTTCTCATCAGTCTGATCGCTGAGACTGTCAGCCACTGGAACAGTCTACACAGCACACTAAACCAAACCAAACTGCTAACCACAATCAAATTAGATGAAAAATGCCCCAGTCCCATGCTTCAAATGAATTCTGTGCTAAACTGTAATATTTAGAGGAGTTTGTTTTGATTTTAACAGGGCAATGACATTTCACATTTCATTAATTATCATATTTATTATCATGTAACATTTCCATTATGGATTATGTTCATTAGTCAACAAAGCAAAGTGGTTTGGGGTCATTAACATGTTTATTTAGGGTTAATGATATTATTTTGGGTCCAAATGATTCTTAGAGAGACGGTTTATTAGGCACATAAATTAATACATGTCACTTTGGAAAGGGTAATTGTGATTGGTTATCTGTTAAATCTGACTTTTTTGTTGCAAATGCTTTAAACGTTTTCTATCTCACACTTCAGACTTTTGTCTTTGCTTTTTTTGGCTAGTTTTTAACACATAATTGCAGATATAAACCCATAATTTGGACTTCTTCAGTTATAATGTTAACAGGGTTTCTGCATGTTTCACCGAGTCAAATTTAAGACTTTTTAAGACCCTTTTAAGAATGAAATTTTAGACTTTTAGCCTAGAAATTTTTAATTTTAGATCCAGGGTTAAACACTAAGGATTTTTTTTTAATGATCCTATTTTATCATGATGAATCATATAATTGTTTTTAGTTATTAGTCTTTCCCTGATTAGGGAATTTAAGGGGGAATTTGCTGTAAACATGTATATAAGATGTTATGAATTGCATCTCTTTGCAATAAACAACTTAAATATAAATAATAAGGTTTATTAAGATGTATTGTTGGTGATTGGATAGATGTCAACCGGATTGAGAAGCTTTACTTGGACAAAGCAAAATTAAGACCTGTTTAAAATGTTTTAAGATCACAACACAATATTTCAGTTAATTTAAGACTTTTTAAGGCCTAAAATATAGTTTATTAAGACCCAGAGGACAGCCTGATTAAGTTGTGAGGCAAGTGACCGATTTTCTTACAAATTTTACATTTATATGTATCACAATTTTGACTGACATAAGATTGTTTGTCAGAAAATTCAGAGAAAAGAAATTGTAAGAATTTAAAGAAGTAAAGATCTTTACATCCCATAATACTGAATTTTATTTAAAAAATCCAAAACGCATATTTAAGGTTTTTTTCCCCACACAATCTGCAGGAAAAGTGTGAGATTTTTCAAATTCTTTTTGACTCAACTCAAAATGAATCAGAATTGTGACATTCAGAGTCGCGGTTACCTTTTTTCACTCAAAATAATGGAAAAAGACTTCAATTAGGTTAAGTATATATAATATTACATTATATTCAATGAGGTAAATGTATATACATACATTTTTCAATGAACTACTTAAATCTAAATCTAATAACAGAGATAACTATATCAAATATATCTTGTTGCAAATGTAAGTGTATTGTTGTTTTAAAGCACCATGGTTTATCAGTGGTCACTTCATGCACTCTCTTTCTTCCACCATGTGTTTCAGGGTTTGATGTCCCACAACATGACAGAGAACTTATTGTTTCGAATGCTCAAGTGAAATTAGAGAGCAGTGTTTTTTGCCTGGCTGGTTCTTCCTGGCCTAGTTTGCCACATTGGATCTGCCATCTAGCTGAGGTGCTGGCGAATAACCGTGTAGCAGTTCTGCTCCGCCTTTACCAGCGAATTGCCCATTTGTTTAATTGGCTGCAGCTCGGCAGACAGGCCTGCCACATTGAGCACTGGTGTGTAGGCCAGAGAGGATAGATGTGGCTTGACATGACCTTATTAGCATGCACTTACTGCGCGAGAGTGCACTTACATCGCTGTCTCCTTGGTGACGTGAACAGGCGGATTAGCTCTGCCCAGACATGATCAATTTTCATTTTCTGGCAAGTGCAAGAGAGCGCAACTCACGAGCCACCATAACACTGCTCAGGGCTTTCATACGATTAGCAGAGATGAGCTTTTTTTGCATTACTGCTTGTACACTGTCACATTCTTTTAGAAACAGACGGGTTTAATTAAAAATGTAAGATCTGAATTACATTTTATTTTTAATGTATTGTAAAATCTGTTGTACAGTGAGTGCTGAGATGGCTCTTACCTCCAGCACACACACTGGACGGTTCGGCAGCTAAAATCTCAATGCAGGATTTTTTGATGATCTACAAAGAAGAGGAAAGTGTTTGAAACACAGAAAGACACCCTCAGATATTATTATTTATATTGTTATTATAAAATTAATATATTATTTATTTAATTAGCATTTTGGGTTTCAATTTGATGAATATAATCAATTATTTTCATTAAATAATTTTTGTTCTAAATATGCCAAGATTTTTGATTCATAAACTATTGTTATAATGGACGACACTTTAATGGTAAAAATGAGAAACAGAAAATAAAAACAAATTAAACAGGACTCATTCTAATGTCTGGTGGAGGAGCTATATTCAGCCACACTTTATTTTGATGGTCCGCTTGTTACACTGCATCTACATGCCAACTAATTCTCATTAGATTATAAGTAGACTGTTGGATTGGGGTTAGGTTTAGTGTAAATTGACTTGTACTTGTAAAGTTTCCTATAGACAGTTAAATGTCTGTTGAAGGAGCAGTATCAGCAGACATTAGGGAGACGGTCTACTTATACTCAATGTACTATCAAAATAAAGTGTTACCCTACATTCTATATAGCTTTTGTTATTTTGATACCTATGAACCCTTTTCATTTTTGACCAATATTACAATGTGATTAAATCTTGCACTGTAGCTTTATATCTTGCAACATTACTTTGTCTTTATCTGCCATTTTGTTCTACAGGCATCTAAGTAACATTGGTGAATAGCATAACACATCTTATTCGAGATGCCATTATTAGCATGTGTTCACACTTAGCTGATGATTGACAATAAAGCTTGTTTGGCATGTTGACCTGGAAGAGAGCTCTGCGCTTATAAGATCCTCAAGCACTGGGCTCCCTCCAGTTTGCAGAGTGAGAGGGGAGTTTGAGCTCAGGTAGATCTCCATGAGCTCCCCCCGGGTTAATTCTGGCTAATGACAGTTGTAGGATGGCTGAGGAGAGATGTACTCGCTAAGAGCTTAGCTATGATATCAATTTAGTAAGTTCAATTTAGTTAGATTGTGTGTTTTTTGGAGGAGAAAACCAAAGTACCAGGGGAAAACCCATGCGAGCATGGGGCGAATAAGCAAACTCTGCACAGAAATGTCAATTGGTTAGAAGGCACTTTAACCTGGGACATTCTTGCTGTGAGGCAACAGTGCTAACCACTGGGCCGCCGTGTCGCCCATCTGGATTCTTCAAGACAAAGATATAAGATAACTCTGCTTATTTATAGTGAGTTAGGAATCATCTGATTGGATAATCAATCGTAAGCTGATGTGAACCAGCTGAGAACAATCATAAGCATGTGATCCTCTTGAAATTAGTTTATAAATTTGTTGTTTATAATATGTTATGGAATCAATATGTAACATTTTAATTATGTTATGAATTTCCCATCACTATACTTAATCTACATTTTGTTTTCATTTTGAGTTATGCTCACATTCTGAATATATAACGTGTGCATATTGCAGACTTTTAGGTCTGCTTCTGTTTGAAATCAGTATGTAATTTTCCTGCACAAGTTGACAGGAGAGCGCCATGGCTGATACTGAAAGCTTGTCGGACATAAAGAAGCGGTATGAGGTTCAATTGTGCAGTGCAATCTATTTTCATATTTGAAACTTTAACAAAGCTGTTTGCACCATTTACTTGACCTTTTGTTTTACTGCATCAATCTAAATAAAAATATATATTTTATTTTTATTGTTTTTATTTTTCAATCTAAGCTGGAATCTAATAAGTTTAAACATTTAGCATGGCATCATGTCACATGCCAGCTATCATAAATTTGAGTGATTAAGTGATTCAATCCCTCATTTAATGTGCCTTTCAGTACCACATCTTTCATTTGGGTCCATCATCAAAGACAGAAAGAAGTACACAGAGACTTACAGAGTCTATCATTCCTTCAAGCGCCTGGAATCCTCCAATTACAGGGAAAACATGCTCTATGGTGTCTGCAATTGTGGCCAACTAAACACAAAATGTAATACAGATAGGTTTATTAAGACACCTCAAGTACAGAAATGTAAATAAAAATGGTTACTGTCACTAAAGCGGCTCATCAAGTAGTGATGCTGAGTTACCTGTGTCTCATTAAAGTCTTTTACACCCACACAGTAAACGATGGCTCCCATAGACCGAGCTCTCTGCGCCTGCACACAGACGGCCAGCAACACAGTCAGCTCTATTACTGAGCAAATGCCACTGTCAATTACACATCTTCCAGAAAACATGCCACATCCGTTGCGACATCGCTGGCTTGTGTACTTGCCTCTTGCTGTGCTGTGACAAACTGATGGTCGTTTAACTCCCCGTCCGTCAGTGCTATGATCACACTGGCTGCTCCTGTGAAGCAAACATCATCTCATTGAGGCTTGATCTTCCCAGATTAAAAAGTGGAAGTGTGAATGCAGCGCAAGCTTACCATAATTCCCATGATATATCTGCACATTGGCCTGGAATTTGAAAAACATTAATGAAGCAATTGTTGATTCATTTTAACAGATTCAATAACAGCACATTACCTCTTCCAATCCAAGATTCATGTATGTATCACCTCCTGGTATTTCTCTCTTTAGCGTATTTAAGCCTCTGGTAATATCATCTCTGAATTACAGATGATAAAGAGGAGTGTTTGAGGAGGAAACATTAGTGTTTGTGTACAAAATTGTTGTTTTGGAAAATTCCACAAGTGGACACTGATACCTGTTCTCTGTGAGTCTCATAATTGTAGTTCCCCGGGTTGAGAAGACAATGAAAGACATCCGTAACATAGGACTGTAAAAGCAAATCACATATTATTCATTAAAGGTATTACTTACCACTCAAGTATTCATAAGTGACTTTACCTTGTGAATTTTTCAGCAAGATGCTCCACAAAGGAGTAAATTTCAATCCAGTGGTTTTGGATACTTCCTGATCTATAATACAAATGAAAGAAAAGATCCTTCAACGAGTAATACCCCTTCTGTGGATTACAATGGTGCCTAAAATGCAATCACATAACAATTACCATCTTTTCTTACACTATCTGAGAGTAGCAGGTCCTTGAGTACTCTATAAAATGCGCACATGCCACTAATTAATTACAGGCCCCAAAGCGCTCCCAACAAGAGCTAATTGCCTTTGTGCCAGATGAATCTGCCTCCTGCTAGCGAAGAGCAACACCCCTTTCTCCTTGAGCCAGCCATTTGAATGGGAACAGATGGCAATGGGTGAGTGTAACAGGTTGGGATCTAAAGCAAGAGCTTGCATCTACATCAGCATCCAAAAAGGTTCACAGATCCATCTCTGACAGGGGGTCAGGAAACATAAAACTGGCCATGTGGATCTAGCAACAGTACCAGCAGTAATCAATGCTAATGTGATGTCAAAAGCTAAACACATCTGGAACGCCATATACCCATGGCTCTAAAACAAACAACTGGGCCACTCCTAAAATGTATGATTGGCTTTGCGTGGGATTATAAAATATGAAACCAATTGGCATTTATTTTAAGGGAGTGTCCCACTAGCTATGAAAGTGTGGTTTTTAATTGTCTATATCACCTATTTTTGTAATGGACCCACACTCAATCACCTTGTGAAACTGTTTTGAAATTGTATGTACTATGAAGATTGAAATTCTATTTTACTTTTTCTATTTTCCAAAACACTGTTTTATCATATTTTCTCATTTTACTCTGGGACTTCCCTATTCTGGTGATCACCCATCCCCAATACTGTTAAAAGCCACAGAAATAAGTCATTAAAGAAAATAAACAGTGTTTGGGTTCATAATCCCTGAATAATGACACTCTGCTGCTTTGCTTTAATACGGTTTTCCTCTGAATATGGTCAATCTTCAACAAACCACTGGCTCAGAATATTTTTAGCCTGGATTGTGATTTAAAAGGAGTCCGAAATTAAAAGGAACACATAGTGACATAAAACTAATTCTCGTTTCATTGCTAATCACAAGTATTTTCCCTCTGAAAAGCACTGCAGCTGTTTTTCTTTCCAAAACCACTCTGAACTGATGGCCTGATATTTACAATTAGTGTAGGGTCACTGAGTGGCATTTAAGGCCTTGAAAATCCAGCCAAAACCATTCAGCTGATTAAAAGTGTGGAAGTGTGGCAAAAGCTTGATGATGCATGCAATCCCTTAGGTCACTAAAGGCATTCAAAAAACTTTACAAACAGAAGAGAGAACTGTGAAGTGTTACTAACTCGCATTTGCACTCCAAACATAGCAACAAAGTGTGATAACTGGAGGATTTAAGGTTATATCATTGAAATAAACTTTGTGGAGTTAATTTAGTTTATGCGTTACATTTGTCACGGTATTTACACTGTATTTTTATCTTTGTTCATTTTAGTCAATAAACATACAACTATTAATTATTAGTTACATTAAATAACATTTACTAATACATTATTAAAATCAAGGAGTATTTTGTGTTAAAATGTAGGTTAATAAATGTTTTAACCTTTTTTTCATATTAACTAACTAATATAAGCAAATGAAAAGTTCTTGTAAATTGTTACCAACTTTGCTATTTTCACTATCAACTCAACTTGAACTTTCTATTTATTTAACAAAGAGAAAGTTAGTATCTAAGCTTTACAGACATTGTTGCTCTAGCTTTTACATCAGATTTGACTAAAATCTGATGGCCACAAAAACTATTCAGTTCAAAATCAGTTTCCAGCATGCCACAGCATGTTTAAGCTTGTTGGGTATTCCGTGTCAAGGTACTAAGGAACGAGTATGCCACTTACTTTTCAATTATTTACACTCTAAGTGATCATTACACACTTAAATAAGAACTATTTACTATCTACAAACCAAGCCAAAACAACTGACTGCAGATTTATGATGCAATATGCATTTTATCTAAAGACAAATGTTACTGGGCATTTGCATCACCTTATAGTAGCCTACATGTTCTTGTTCGATGAGGTCTTCTCCTTTTGTGCTTGAGACCCCCACTTGATAATGATGCCCAAATGCAGATGTGAACTGCACCAGGTGAGAGAAAAACCATGCTTGTTAAAGCATGCCCCCTAGGCAAGGGAACCGGTCTTATTGTCTGCTGTGTCTAAATCCATTTATCAGCCTTAGCAGGATAAAAATTGAGGAATTCACCATTAGGAAAACTGAGCAGCACTGCATGTTAATTCTGTAGGGACAATATTGGCTTTTGTTTCGAATTTTGTATTTCATGTCAGTTCTCTGTCTGTGTTCTACTCTCCTCCATGCATCCTGTCTTGCTTCCCTTGGGAAATCTAAATTTCCCGAAATATCTAGTCAGTCCTTTCTTGCAAGAATATAGGCTAGAAATGATTAAGAATTAAAGTAAATAATTAACATATTTGAATATGAAAGCTTGAGGATTAATCTAATTCTACCTAACGAATGGCTGTCGTTAAAAAAGCGATTCAAGCGCGTCTGAGGGCGTCAAAGGCGCGTCGCGCGATGAGAGGGGAATAAAATGATGCCACACGAGGGCCACTTACTTGTCGAGGACAAAATACAAGTCGAAAGCACCTTGACAGGACATCTTCCCCTCCTCAAATCTTGGCTCAACGTTTCCAGTTTGAAGACTGGCCGTAAAAATCAGTAAAATGCACACAAGACTCACGTGAATCAGTGAACGTGCCATTTCATCAGTTTATTCTCTCCAAAAGCACTAGAATAAAATTGCATTTCATATTACTCCAGCACAAAAAGAAAACAACACTTTTCCATGAAATTTACTCCTCAAACAAGATTTTTAAATGTCCTGTCACAGTGTTATATCCCGCAGTCATCCGAGTGCGCTTCCAAAACACAGAAAGCTCCTCCTCAAGGAGAAATGTTTGGAGGAGCGACCACAGACCGGACGGCAAACAGCCTGCCAACAGCTACTGAAACTTACTCTTTCCGGGAGACAGACAATTCTGATTGAATTCTGACAAAAAAATAAGCTGTATTTGATGCTACTTTACACCTACAGCGTTTAGTGAAATGTAGTTTATTTTTTTTTAGAAATAAAGTAATCAATAGCTATTTTAAATTAAATACTCTGTATTAATTTATTATAAAGAAATCTTTGGAATTCATAGGGTATAAATCTTTCTTCGTCTTCTTTTTATTTCTATTTTTAAATGACTAAAAAACAGAAAAAACTTTCCATAACTGGACAGTCATCACAAAATATGACAGATGGGTTTTGAATTGAAAGGATCTTAAATATGCACACTGGGCGTACAGTCTTTTGTGATGCTCATTACAATCTAACGGTCTCTGACTTCTGTCATTGATTACCCTCGCTTGTAATTAACACGCCTTTAAAGCTGGTGAAGCACCAATCAAAATGCCACCTGGGGGGGTTTGGGGATAAATGAAGCGCATCAGCTCCGCGTCCTCAGCGTGGATAGTGCGTGACCGCGCAGCGCGAGAGACATTCAAGAGGCTGTCAGGATCAGGAGACAGTCGCGATCGCGCGCTCTCTGTAGACAACTGCATATCGCGTGTCTTTGGTCTGTGCACCTGCTCTGGAACATCACCAACATAACTTACTGTAGGTACGTTGCTATTACTGCATGTATTTTAAAAATTATTTTTGCACAAGTAGAAAGGTTTTTAAATTAATTAAGGAATTAAATGCTATAGATAGCATCGATATAAGACAAATAATGTTTTCTTTTCATTTATCAATCGATTTTGCACTTTGTACCATATAGATATTAATTGAACCGCTTTAGTCAGTATATTTTTTAAAGAAAACTGATCAAACATATATAAATATATAAAATATATTATAATATTATATAATAATGATATATAATATTATAATATATTATATATTGATGCAGTATTATTATTATTATTATTAATAATACAGCATTAATACATTCTTTGGTTTCTTGTTTAACTTTTTATCATTGATTATTTTTCCCTCAGGAATAAACATGGAGCACAGTATTTTTCCTCGCTCCTTGTGGACTAATGACAGCAAAATTCTCCATCACCACGTCGCGGATTTCTTCAGCAGTGTTCAAGTTACACAGGACATACCAGCTGGAACCTCATTTGGACCTTGTGTTCTTCATAACACTTTTTATGACACCATAGCCTTCATTGCATTGAAATCCTTTGACAAACGGAATAAATCCTATGTATTTCGGGTGAGTCATTTGGCACTTACTACATATTTTTGTATTGCCAAGATTTTTCTTTTAGACATGGACTGAAAGATAGTTGTTTTAGTAGTTGATTAGTAGTTTACTAGTTTTAGTAAATGAAACGCACAAAAAGGATATATAATTTGTTAGCCTACACTGTGCAGACCAAGCAGTGCAAATATTTTCATTTCAAATTTGCTACTCTTTTAACAGGTAGATCCTGAGGCAATGAAAGGCTCTCCATTAGTAGTTCCTTGGCTCCGGTTAGTTCAGGCTGCGATGAGCGAAGAAGACCAGAATACTGAGGCCTACTTGAAAGGCGGACAGCTGCACTTTAGGACCATTCGAGATGTAAAGGAAGGGGAGGAATTGCTTGTTTGGTATGATGAGGAGCTGTCTCATCTTTTGGGATTCAGAGACATTAAGGCAAAAGCCCTGACAGATGGTGAGTAATAGCTTTCAAAAATCTATATGAATAAAATAGAAGGGCAGTGCCAACAATAATAATAGTAGAAATGTTTTAAAGCTTAATGCACAATGTTAATTTGATTTTAGATAACTTTACATGTAAGAATTATTGTCATCAAATGTCAATTATTTGTTAAATAATATAATATAATTCATATTAAATAACACGAATATGCTATTAAAACATTTTCTTCTTTTTTTCTTTCTTTTTCTTCAAACTTCTGTAAAGATTTGGATAATTATTATTATTTTTTTTAAATTGACTCATTCGAAGATATTTTCAGAAAAAAAACAAGCATTGTAGTATAGGCTAATTTAGCAGCATTATAGATCAATTAATATAATAGTATTACAAAAAAGTGTACACCAAAGCAATGGTAAAACTAATGTAGCAAATATTTTATTGTCATGTAACAAAACATGGAACACAAGATGACCCCTTCAGGTTTTTTAACGAATACATGGCATGATATATAATTTTCTAGAGGTGTATTATAAACTAAATGCATTTTTAAGAATTTTTCTGTAGTGTTTGCACTATATTTTTGTAAACATATGCTATATGGATTTTCATATCATACCACATAAATTAAAAATTAATTCTTATTTTTTAAGGAAACGTATACTGTAGTGACAATAATTTTAGCAACAATGCCATTATTATCTAACAACGTTTGTATCTTCATACGCAGGCTACACATGTACAAGATGCGGCCAGGCCTTCAAGAACGAAAACCCATTCCTTGCCCACTGTCGTTTTTTATGTACCCAGGAAAAAGTCGACATCATCAGGCCAATCAACCAACAGAAGCCAGAAGTTAAGCGACATCGCAAAGTCATCGATTTTCATAATATTGCAAGGGATTTGGAAGACAAAATGAACACTTCTTCTTTTGAAGACACGACCATACTTCGAAAACGAAAACAAGAGCCTTTCTTAACCCCCAAAAGCAAAAAAACGGTTTTATTGGAGAAAACTAACATCACTAATGAAAGCAACACCACCAACGCCAACAAAGACTGTCGAGCTTTTCGGGATTTATCTGAACCAACAGACAACGCACAGACAAATGAGTCAAAGATAAGCAAAAACAGCGCATTTACCGAGGTCAGAAAAGCACCAGAGCCCTCAAACCCTGAAAAGTCATCACGGGATATAATGGCGCCCGAAGTAGGCCTTCAATCGAACTGCAGCGCGTTCTCCTTCGTTGTGCCTAAAAGCGCGCGCTCGGAGCAGAAGAGCGCGTTCTGTGAACCCAGTAAACGCGCTCTCGCGGAAGCTCAGAACCCTTCCCCACCAGATACGGATAACAGTTTAGACTCTTTCAAATCCAAATCTTCATTAGGATACAGAAACGTGTTGGCTTCGCACCTGTTTCCCACCGACTTGGCAGGCAGTCATTCAGGTGGAGGGATGTCCGCTCCTCTGACTTCAGGAGGATCCTACTATTACGCGCCCGAACACTGGACCAGGGCTATAGGTGGCCAGCTGCAGTCTACATCTTCTTTGACACTTCTGCCCCCTACTTTCACCCCTTTGGGCGTTTCAGTGCAAAACTGGTGCGCCAAATGCAACCTCTCGTTCAGAATGACCTCCGACTTGGTGTTTCACATGCGGTCACATCACAAAAAGGAGTTCGCCGCAGAAGCTCAGGTGAGGCGGAGGAGAGAAGAGAAACTCACCTGTCCCATATGTCACGAGTACTTTCGAGAGCGTCACCACCTCTCACGTCATATGACATCACATAATTGAGACGAAAATCTTTTTCTGCACTTTGCAGGTGTTGATAATTGAGAGACGCATTGATGCATTTACACTGTGATGATGCTTTGTGGTTAGGCTGCTATTGGAAGGTGCTTTGCTGTAGCAATACATTAAAAACGGGGCAAAAACTCGAACGTTTTAACCAAGAGTGCTTGTCTTATATTCACAACAGGCCACAGTCATTTAGCTAGTATTTTAAGTGGTGGTGGGTTTGAGTAGTGCAATTCAGGTCAGGCCTAGATCGCCACTAGGTGGATATAGACATGCATAACTTTCTCTTTAGAGATAGTTGTACTTAGTGCATTTTAGTTGTAATAATGTTGAATTGTTTGGTCAATTTTAACTTAACAGTGCCTTACAACGTCTGGATGACTACAAGTATTTACACGTATTGAGAAACGATAGAACAAAATGCTCCAGCATTTTTAGGTTTGCTAACAGCTGACTAAACTATTATAAACTTACTACATTGTTTGTAAAGAGATTTTATTTTTTAAATATTCATCCTTTTACAATGCCAAATTTTATGTTACAAGGTTATTTTCAGATATCTTTTTAACATTTTTATCAGCACAATGACAAGGAGGATGTATTTATTTAAATATTTTCTTGTTCTGTTCTTTTTTGATATAGTACAGTCATTGTATTTCATTAAAGATTTTGAACATATTTCATGTGTTTGCCTTTTACTTCAGCCATGCAGAAAGATGAAAAGTAGCCTTTTTTGTGCACACACAGTGATAATCATATGTTTTTGAATCAGTGTGCAAATAACGTTTTTTTTATCTTGCTAATTGTAAATGTGCAAATGAAAACATCCAAAGTAAATGCCCTTATAGTAGACAGTACTATCCAGGTGTTATTTGGATTTGCAAATATGGTAGCATGCAGTATAGGTGTGTGTTCATATTTGATAGGCTTGGTTTGAATAAGTGTAAACACTGCTATGTGAAACTTTGTGCACAACAAATAAGTGGATGGAAACCCCTCTAGTATGGTTTGAATATAATTATGCATCATGATTTCCCCTCCTAGTCTTAAACATGACATGGTGATTGCTGTGTGCATGAAACAGTATTGAATGACTCTCCAGATCAGACCAACAGAAACAAGATTATCAAACTACACATGGAACCTTAAACTTACTGAAGTACTACAGAAAACTAGGGTTTAATGTCATGTCATTCATATCATGCACAGATACTGTAAAAACAATATATGTTCTGACGAATGCAAAAAATATCTATCTATCTATCTATCTATCTATCTATCTATCTATCTATCTATCTATCTATCTATCTATCTATCTATCTATCTATCTATCTATCTATCTATCTATCTATCTATCTATCTATCTATCTATCTATCTATCTATATGTGTGTGTGTGTGTGTGTGTGTGTGTGTGTGTGTGTGTGTGAGGTATGTAAAAAAACCTTAACATATTTTCATTAAATAATTTATACAAACAAAATGGGCTTCAAATTTTTTTGTTATAAATTTTATAAAAATTAAAATATGTTAAGGTTTTTTTGCGACACAAGCGTGCACATGCACTAACACTGAGTAACCAGCAGAGTGCGCTCTCTAACAATTCTAGATTTTTTAAGCTCACTATAAGTAGTTGTGATGGTGAGTTATGAAGATTGGGTTGTGATCAATTTGATCATCACCACAAGGAGCAACGTCTAAAAAGACCCCCGAGCCTCCCTTAAGTTGTGCCTTTGAGAATTCACCAGAAAGTCAGCGTTGACCTCACTTCAAAAAGAAACCCTTCTGTGTTCTGCTAGAAAAGCAAACATTCTACTCATTCAAGAAAGTAAATAGCTACATAACTTTGGAATACATCAAACTGAATGAAAAGCCTAATATTGGGGCAATTAAGAAGCCCAGCGGGTTGTTCCTGACGGTAATCACTTGAAGAGAGAGTCATTTCATAACACACAGAAATTCTTCTGTTCACTCTAAAGAGCATCTTTCATCGCTGCCATTAATTGATCAGGCCTCATTTGGAAAACGAAATATTGACTTTGGGTTTCAGGAACTGTCGAGTGTTTACATTTAGCCGAAACCTCTGGTGTCCTCTACAGCTGATTTAAATATTAAAGTGCTCCCCGGGAAACTAACATTGCCTAAAGGGATTCACCTGATAGTTACCCTCAGTGCTTCTGGACAGCTTTAGTGTATGTTAGCATTACATTCTCACGTTCTTCTGTTATTTTATGATCATCGTGGGACTGAAGTGATTTACAAGTTACCAAACCTCATTCATGCCGACACTGTCAAAACTAGCCTGTGAGATGAAAACAGCTTTGATGATATTGGAGGCCATGGATTTATCATTTAGTCTGTTGTTTGCGGAAAAAATCATATGCTAATATTTTGAATAATGTAGACTGTACATGAAAATGTTAACTCCACTTTTTACTTTCCAACCTGAATTTGGTCTTTCAGCATGGCCAAGTTGTTTTAGTGAGCTGAATATCCTGAATGAAACCAGATAAGAACAGCAAACTACTGTAAGTTGCTTTGAATTAATATTTATATGGATAAACAATAGAAGTAGATCTCTTCATTCTAAACAACTTCACTCTTTAAGTGTTATCTTTTTTCCACTGCACAGAGAAGCTATTTAATACAGTGTTTAAACAAAAGACACAGCAGACAGTAATTGGGTTTTGTTCTGTGAGAACATGCTTCTCAGTTTCATTCATGGCCAGGTGGAATTAAAAGGCTTCATGTCAAATTAGTTTGAACTGGGTGACATCATCTGTTGAAGTAAGAGTTGGAACTTCCTGCACTTTGAGACCTGATGCTCTTGAAGTGGGTTGGAGGTGGGAACTGAGGGTTGGAGTTGTCTTTGATGTCCAGGTGAAGAAATAATGTACCAGGCCAGTTTCTGATGTCCAATCTAGTTAACACATTCCCATTCTTTCGTTGCTGTTTTCTTGTTTAGTAAAGAATATGAACAGTTTACAAAACAATACAAGTATGCAGCAAGAAATACACAGATGGTTTAACATATATTTTATTCTACTTATAAGGCTAGTTTTCATAATTTAAAAGGCATTTACAAAAATACATTCTCTAAAATATAATATATTGAATTCAAATGAACAATTGCTTATTCACACCGACAACATTTGGCCCAAATGTGCCTTGCTCATGGCACCAAACCAAGGTAATTAAACATGTCTGAATACAAAAAGGACCCATGTGTAACTCCTTTTTAAGTAAAACAAATGCACAAAACAGCTCTTGCTGTCAATGACCTCAGCAATTAGCAACACTCCACCTTTTGGGATGGACCCTTTTCACAAGCCTGTCATGACGCTTTAACTGTCATCAGCATCTTAAATTCTTGAAAGGTTTTAATATTATGAATTACGGCTTTTGCGAGGTGTTTCTAATGCAGCGTTTATGGGACAGGACAGTAATATAACATCATTTGGAGTTTTTCTTTTATTAATCAAGCAAATAAGACTGTAAAAGAATTATATGTTGTATTGTCATATTCACTGTGCTCTAAATTTTCCCAACTATGACGACGTCCGCTACTGAGAAACCCAGAAATGTGCAAAGGGTCTATTTGTTTCACAAAAATTTCCTCCTGTGTGTGTGTTTTAAAGTTAGTTCTGTTTAAAATCTAATTTCAGATTAATTACTATGAGACTGCTTTGCAATCATGCTAAAACCTTGATTGAAATGTATGATGAAGAACATTAAAGGGTTCACATTTCCACATGTACTTGATCATTTATGATTTTAAATGACCCAAATATCAAGTTACACTTACATTTTTAATACACACAAAGACTTTATCTTAATCTGTTACTACACCAACATTAATCTGAATAATAGAATAGTTTTCTAATTTACTTTCCAACATAATTCAACAATTCTGCCAGAAGATAAGGCTTAAATTCAGTAACCTATAAAACCTTATTGTACATCCAGTAATCTAAGCCATTCATATCTCACAATTTAAAAGCAAATAAGTGTAAGAGTAAGTGCTCGTGTTACTCATCTAGCACAATTAAAAAGGTTTAGAACAGAAGTAATGAAATATCACAGATACTGTATAAAATAAGAGATGAAATGCAGTCCATACAAACGTGTGCACTTCCCACCAAGTGCAACTAAAGACAATATGCCTCTTCAAGGTAAATTTGGGTGTCAAAACCAAAACAATGCCCATTTGTTTTTCCTTCCTCTGCCAGCGAGTCTATCTACATGCGCATGTCTCCACAGACATGTTGGGGTAGATCTTCAATACAATGTTTTTGCTCTCATCCACAAATAATACACTGAGAGGTTTCATCTTCTCTGGGACACAGCATGGCTCTGGGATACCTGGAATGATCCCAACAGCCTTGACTATGCTCTGGATGGTTGCATGGTTGGACGGGCGGACCACCTGAAAAGGGCAGAAAAGAGAGGATAATGAGCTTTGGTAGCGTTTAGATATGCAACCATTTGTTTTGCTTTCTTAAATGGAGCAGAGGAAATCATGTCTTACAACACCTTTCTATTATTCACAACAGAGTAACTTTACAACTGGTTCATTTCAAAAGAAAATGTGTCCAGAACGTGCTTAAAACCCCCATTAAGTGTACAATTATTTGGCTGTAATTGCACATAAAGTTAGTGTGCTTTGGTTGTGCAGACATTCTCTGAAGGGTTTCTTTGTTTAAAATCTCTGGCTAGAGTAGCTGCATTTAACCATAGTCATTTTTAAATATTTCAACATGTCTAAACGATTCACATGCGTATATGCTGATCCTGGCCATGAGGCTCTCTGACCTTTGGAATGGGGAATTCACACGTTCCTGCGCAGTAGAAAGCATCGAAAGACTTGGGAGACAAAATCCACTCGTTCCACCCAATATCTGCAAAGTCCACCTTCAGGTACCTCCTGGAACAGCTGCGAGGTTCTTTCCACTGTCTCCTCCGAGCCTTCTTCATGGTTTTCTCATCAAACCGGAGAACCTGAGACTTGCCGAATCCATCAGTGTGCTCCTGGCCTTTCCTCCGACGTTCTTTTTTGAAGGGCTTTGGCTTGAGCGGATAGTAAGCGCTTTCCCACATATCATGCTGTTTGAAGCTGTTGTACTCCACCTCCGGGAGCTCATTGTTCTCAATGGGATCAGTGAAGTCCAGTTCCAGCTCCCGCTTCACGCGTATGTCAGGTGAGGAGTCTGGAGACTGAGCTGGCTGCTGGTCTCCGATGAAAGGGTCGTATCTCTGCAGGCTCACAGCCACACTGTTGGGCTCTGAAATGGCCAGGTCATTAGCATATACCAGTAAGTATGGAAGAGTGGAGGGTGAGAGCTGGTCCTGATACCTTTGATACTGCTCTCCATAGTCAAACTCCAAAGTGATCAAAAGCTGATTCCTATCTCGGGCCTCCTTCATAATGACAGACACATCCTTGCTCTGCCAGGTCCCACGTCTGTGAGGAACTACAGTGAGGTTTCCAAGCAGTGATCCTGTGGTTGAGTTGACGGAGGGAGACCGGAAAAGAAGACGGATAGAGGGAAGTAGAGGGAAATTTGTGATGCGACAGGAGGGGTTCTTGAAGCGCTTGCAGAACCAGGACCTCTGGCGGGGCCGTTTGTCAAAAAAGAAGTGAAATGTTGATGAGAGAATCACCTCAGATCCCTGAAGGGAAGTGAGATTCAGCCGGTATGAGACCCTCTGCTCCACATTCTCTGCAAAGATACGAGAGAAACTGCTGAGTTACATATCAATTATGAATATGGGCTCAAACAACAGGCTTTTTGTTCTGTGGAAGGACTTGGAGAAAGCACAAGGAAGTGAGGAGACATGTTACTCCTAGAGCAGACATATGGAAATGTTTATTTAGAGTCCCTTAAGAGTTAGAACTTGTAACAATGTCCTTCTATTAATCGGGACTGATTAAATGCTTTAGCAGACTGCCAAAAAAGATGATTTTTTTCATGAAAGTGCAGCAAATGTTATTTTGTGGACATTATATATATTAGGCCGTCTTAACTTTTGTGTACTTAATCATTTGATACAATATACTATAATGTATGAACAACTTGGTTCATTGCAATTACATTTTAATTGCTTGCCTTTAATACACATTCGCGCTTACACTGCTGCAACCAAACCTCAAACTCATTAGTAAAATATGTGGTCATTTTCCAAAACAACAAAATCCACTTCATAGCACTTTCATAAGTATTTACCATGTTTATTTATTGGCTTTGATGGTTCCAATAGGAAGATTAACATCAATATAAAACAAAAGTTCTTTATTGATGAAAAAAGTATTTTAGATTATTGAAATGGAGAAATAAATGAAACTTTATTTGAGGAACCCAGATTGCATCTTCTATAGCCCATTTTGAGGGAAGTAAACAATAACAATGGTCCTAATGTATTTTCTGTCTTACATTTTTAATTTTTATAGCTTCCGAGAAACCAAAAAAGGTCCATTTATTGATAAATAATATTAGGATAGCTGTTTTAACATTAAGTTACAATTTAATTGTTTTTTGGTACAGTTATGAAATAGTTTGATATCAAGCAGGTAAAGTTCATGGGCCAATGATATTAACTCATTGAAATGGTCTATATGGTATTGCTGTGAAAACTCTATTTTCTAATCTCTTGTTTTGAGAGCAGTTAAAGCCATAACATGTGACCATTTTACTGTGATTTAAATAGCACATACACTGAAAAATTCAAAGATGATTCCTTGCATTTAAGTTGAACATTATTACATTTAATTTGTTTGTTTAAATTCAACTCATAAATCGCTTGCAACAATTTTTGCAATTTTTGCCATTTTTTCAGTGTATGATCTGCAAAAGCCAAACATTACGCATAGTATACACAGTCAGATTTTTATAAAATAGTTTATGAATTACACATTAATAGATTACTATATATATATTAGCATTAGTCTGTAGAATATCCTATTAACTAACAAATAAATTAACTAACAGCACTTCCTCTACAAGTCAAAATCCCTGAAAGTAATTAAAAAGTCAAATTCGTGCAAATTATTGAAAATTTTTTTCAAACAAAACAAAGTCATTCAAACGATATACAATATAAAAAATAGATGCTGCTCTAACCATTGTGCGATGCCATGGTACAAAATATAGCATAATAGTTGCTTTTAAACGTCATATAATGGACGTATGGCAACACATTTTGTTATTTATAATGCATTTCATTTTTCACGTACTTACCAGGTTTTGCTTTAAAGCTTCTTACAGTATTCCCCTCTTTGAGCCGGTTAGGTTCAGTGTTGTACTTCTCATAGAGTTTGTACATATGCTGCGAGAGCGCATCAGTGGGCACGAGCGCGTCTGTCGTGCTGTCGCGCGCGCTTGTCCCAGCAGCTTCAGATGCGCCAGTTTCGGAACCAACCCAAAGCAATAACAGGTGCGTCAAAAAGACACATTTAAATGTCATGTTGCACAAAAAAGCAAAAACTTTCCAAACGATTGATAGCCGTGGAGTTAAATGTCGCTCTTGCACATATTAAAACATGCGAAAAGTTTTCACTATGACAGTAAGTCTCGGAGAGACGTTTTCCAGTGATACGGTTTGGAGAGTTGCTGCCTTTCTCGCCTTGTAAAGCTGTTCAGAGAGGAAGTGGTCGCGGCGCTTCAGTTTTAGTTTATGCCTGTCTCCTCGTGTAAAACCTGTGACACATCACTTATTTCTTCTGACCGCCACAATCCACGCGAGCAGGCATAAGCAGAGTAAAGTGTGACGTATCCGCTCACCAGCCAACGGGAGCTGTTGCTACATTACACCCGACCCAGCAGGAGGCCAACACGAGGACAGATCCAGCAAACATGCACTTTCACAGCTTTGGGAAATACATTGAAAGGTGCGACATGACTGTATTTGTTTCCTCAACATACATTTTTTTCAACCCATTACCATTTAAAATGAATTCATTTATTTTATTTTGAGCTAGCTTTTGCTGTTACGCTAATAAGCACTTACAAAAATAAACTTACTTGTCAAGAACTAATAAACAAGCATGTTATTGTGGTTAAACCATTGCATTGTGCTTGATAATTTATGGTTTTGCTATGGTTACACAAATGGTATAATTATTGTGTTTCACTAACACATTATGAAACAGGGTAATTTGTGTAAATGTCTTTTGTACATGATTAAATGATGTTGATTGATTTTTTTCTTTCTGATTAGCCTAAAATCACAAATTTTTTATTTTTATTTTATTTATATATTTTTTATTTGATTTTACCAACCAAAAGCAAAATGCACTGTAAAATAACTTTAAAAGTTTTAAAAACATTACAAAATTCTTCGTATTTTTGACAAGTTTCACAAAAATTTATAAAAGGACCCCATTTAACGTATAACTATTATGAAAAACATTATTACATATCCTAGAGCAGTAGTTAGGGACATCACTTGGTTCCATATTTGCCATATAGTCATTGTGTTACTCTTAGACAAATTTTTGTATTCAGATTTTGTGAGATACTGTTTTTCATATATTAAACATAGCCCATGTTGAGGGATGTAAACAAAAACAATGGTTCCAACGTATTTCCTGTTTTACATTTTTAATTTCTATAGCTTCTGAAAATCCAAAAAGAACGTTATGATAGCTGTTTTAACATTAAGTTATGATTGATTTGCCTCTTGTTATGGTTATGAAATAGTTTGATAACAAGCAGGAAATGTTCATGGCCAATGACATGACCACATTGAAATGGTCTATAATAAACAGGGAAATAGGTGATTTTCCATTGCAGCCAACAGTCTTTGCTGTTGTATATGCGAAGCACTCAAACATACCTATTAGACCTGAACATCTAAAATGCATTTGCATGATGTTTTCACAAAATTAGCTTTTGTAGTTAGCAGGGCTGCACAATATTGGAATAATCGGACATTGCGATATTTTGTTTTTCTGCTTTATATATTGTGATATACTTTGTTGTACTTGGAAAAAAATTTTGGTCACTTTATTTTTAGGTTCACATCTCGCTCTAGGCTAACCATTTTTGACTTTTGCTTCAATAAACTCTTACGTTGCTCCTAATTAATAGTTATTAAGATAGTTTTGGTATTGGATTAATATTTGGATAGGATTAGGAATGTAGATAAGATCATACAGAACATGTGCTTTATAAGTATTAATAAGCAGCCAATATCTCAGTAACATGCATGTTAATAAGAAAGTAGTTATTTATGAGAATTGGTCCCTAAAGTGTTAGCGAATGTATTATTTTGATTGACTGAAATGATTCTGTAGGGAAGTGAATCATGCATAACATGCAATAAACAAACAAGCATAGATAAATGCAACAAAGCAAAGATAAAAGTGAAATAAACAGTGCATGCTTTATGGTTTTGTATATTTAAATGTAAAAATTACACTGCAAAGTTAACTCAACAATGCATATCTTTGCATCATGACTATTGCGGATGCACACATTGTGATATGGATGCTGAAACCATGTATTGTGCAAACCTAATAGTTAGGATAAAATACCATTGTAGTTTTATTTGAAATCTGCTTTCAAGAATTTGTATTTTCAGGCCCCCAAAACAACATCTCCATGTAAATCATTGAAAATGGCCTCAATTTTTCCATTTTCATTGTGTAAACAGCCTTACTCTCTAATGTAAATCAATAGTTCTACTAAAATGCAAGGTTTATGTTATTCAATATGCCATAAAACCTTGTTGTATACATCCAGTAATCTGCAATCATAAATCCAGCAGCCATTTATGTCATGGCGATGACAGCAAAGCTGACATGTTATATGAAATGGAGCATAAAGAGCCCATGTTACTCATCTAGTAATATAAAATAAAAATAAAAAGCATATAACTAATTTTTTATGAAAACCATGGGAGTGAAAATATAATGTAAAACTGAATGATGAAATGCACAAGATGTATTGCATTCAAAAATATCACAGTGCAAATGTACTTTTGTTTCAAATCTTAGAGTGTAAATGCACATCCCAAAGGCTACATTGAAAGAGTTTTGAATGTTTGTGAATGCCTTTGCTTGATTTCATTATAGTGATTTCATTCAGTACATGAAGCACACTGGGGGAACGGCCCTGTCACCTCTGTTTTTTGTGTGGAGTGTCTGCAGTGCCGTGCCAACAATGCTGGTTCTGTGAAAGACCGGGGCTCCAGTGGAGAGACCATAACAAGCCCGGCCGTTTGGGTCATTGCGTGCCATTAAACACCTCCTGTGGCCCCTGGGGACCCTTCTGGAGACCCCCTTTTTACTTCACACTTGAATGTGTCTTAAATCTGCATTAAAAATCTGACGTTCCTGCCCACTAGGACACTGTTACCGAGTGAATCACAGGATAAATCGAGTAGGCGGGGAGATACCTCTGCTCTGCTTTGTTTCCATCTTTTTATTGTCTGACTGTGGGAAGGCGAAGCCATTAAGCTTCAGAATTCGACATCGCTTTTAAAAATGAATAAAAAATAGAACAAGGGAGAAAGAATTCAAATTAACTGTGGTTCACAGAGACCTTTGAGTCTCCAATATGACTGCATCACTTGCTCTCTATAGCACCTGGGAGAGTCCTATTCTGTCTCGGATCCTGCTGGCTCTGGATACTGAGAATGATTCCCTAATTAACAAGCTAACGACAGAATGATGCTAATAAGCATAAGGTCTTGTTTAAAAGGCTTGGCTTTCCAGGACAAATTTCCTTAATATGTTTGTCCCTTATTTTGAAACGGCTAGTCGTCCCGTGGTCTTGTAAAACACACTATTATTTTACTCGCCTCCTCCCTTCCTTCCCATTCATGAGCTTTATGTGGGGCTCTTTGCAGAAGAAACACATCTCTCATTGGTTGGAATGAGCAAAACAGAAATCTAAGAAATCTGTAGATAGAAATAGTAAAAACACAAATAAATGTAGAGATTTAGTCTACACTTATTTGTCAGTATCATTCCTGTTATTTTTTATGATCAGATACATCAGTACAAATAAGCTGACCTTAGCCAAACATGTTTGTGTTTATTTTTGTTGGCCACATTGAAATGAAATCATAAATTTAACTAGAGGCATTGGTTTGTGTTTTCATCAAATATTCAGTTTATTCTTCGTGTGAAAGCACCATTTATCAAGATATATAATTTCCGCCCCCTTAAAAAAAATTTAATCACAATATTATGTGATTCATATATTGGCAGGTCTAATCTTCTCACTTTCAGTTGTTTGCTCTTTGTTCATCTGGCATGACTTCATTTGATTTAATTTAGTTTTTTGATCTGCTACCACTAATAACCATGATATATATCATTTATAATTGCTTGTCATAAAAATTGACTGTGGGGAACCACTTATAACTCAATGGATTTGTTATTAGATATGGGTCACAAAAACAAATAGTGTTGCTAAATGCATTTGCGTGTACTTAAACAATTTGTGTGTGGTTTGCTTCATAAATAGCAGATGGGTCTTTGTTTTCCTGAGGCTGTTTTTATGCAAGTTAAAATGAGAGAAGAATCATTTGGTTTAAAATGGAAATTGCATAAATTTGGTTTTAGTGACACAATAGATTATAATGAAATTAAGATTTTAGTGGCATAGAAATGTAATTATCTTTAAGTAAATATTTAGAATCATTTATTTGAATTCGCCAGTTCCTTACGGGATCAAGTATTGTTTGCTTTTCAATTACAAATTGATAGTACATAGTATTTTAAATGTAAAAAAGATGCGTGACAAACGCACTAAAATATAAGTAGCATGGTAGACATTTTCTACATTTTGACCTAAGAGCTTTCGCTTTGCTCTGTATAAAATGAATGGAAAGAGTAGTTCCTTTTTGTGTATTTTTAGTCCTTGAGTAAAGGAAGTGGCTGCTGATATTAGAAGGTAGAGGGTCAGGTCCTCTGGCACCAGGGCAAATACATTTAAAGTAGCCATCTGTCAACATCAAGATTTCTAAAAGGCAGAAAGTAGTTGCCTGCTCTCTGTGTTTTTTCTTTCCCGTTTGTGTTGGCTATGTGTCTCACAACTCAAGTGAAATACAATTATCCTTCCAGTGCCTTAAATGATCAATATCTTTTTAGAATTCTGGTGCTCTTGGATCTGCACAATATCAATGTGCCAATCTTGCCAAATGGACCTAATGGCAAAGTGCATTCTTTTCTGGCTACAGTTTTTTCCAGCAGAATATTTCCGAATTAGCTGTTTGTTTTACTGGCTTTCCACCTTGAAGGGCAAAAATACTTAACATGTTATACCAATACCATGTTATATCTCTTGACTCAAGCAAATTATAAAGCCAGTTCTAATATAAAGAAGTTCTATTCTTGCAAGCAATCATATTATAGGTTCCAAAAAGGGTTTTAATTTCCCAAAATTAAATGGTTTCTATATCATTTGTAATTTTTATTGTAAAGAATATTTTAGGAACATTTTCTCACTTTGAGGGACATTTCAAGAGTTAACACTTAGCTGATGATTGATTATAAAGCGTGTTTGGCATGTTGTCCCGGTAGAGAGCTCTGAGCTCATGAGATGCTTGAGCCCGGGGCTCCCTCTCGTTTGCAGGGCGAGAGGGGAATTTGAGCTCAGGTAGGTCTCGAGAACTCCCCTGCTTGTTAATAGTAAATGCAAATTATAAATAACTATGGAGAGAAATATTGCTGATTAATCGCACAATTATAGTGTCGAATTGGTTTGGCCAATTTACTTATGATACAGTTTTTTTGGCCTGTGGGAGGAAACCGGA